CCCAGTTGATTACTTACATTAAGAAAATTATTTTTAGCATTACAAGTTTTATCAATGTATGTTTATACATGACATAATACGCTAATGCTGACATTTGGTGGGAAATCTGTAGTAAAGTGTAATAAAAATAAAAAAATCTATTTTGGGCGATTTCTCTCCACTTGTCTAAAAGACAACATGTTATGGGAGCAAAAAAGCCCACACTTAAAGTGCATGAAAAAACTATGTCTGTGCCTATATATTGTCTCACTGTTACACACTACACTAATGGCGTGTTCACACAGAAAGCAAATTTTTTGCCCGATGAAATTACATGTCAATGCAAAGAGATGAATAACAGAAATGGTATGCAAAATTGCCCCTTCTGCGTATTTGCAATAATAATTGAATAAAATATTCAACTTTAAGCAAAAAATGTGTCAGGGCTTTTGCAGTGTTGCGTGAGTAGGAGCGGACAGACAGAGCAGCTTGACCCGGAGTCCCAGGGGCAGAGCTAGAGCTTCTTGAGGAATAAACAGCCAGAGTCGTTTATGGAGACGTTTACTGATAACAGGAGAGATTATTTTAAAACCTTTAAACCTCTGCCATTAAAAAGTGTAATCATATTCACTCTCTTCTCAACCTGTCTGCTGTGAGCCACAGAGGTGACCCCCCCACACTTCCCTCTGTGTGCACCCAAAGCTCTTTTATACTACGTCATATTTATACAGAGACCGGACAGAACATTGCTCAGAGAAAAGTAAGAGGAAACTAGCCTACATGGTGAGTTTTTAAATACGTGTCTGTTACTTGATTCCAGCCATTGGTTTTACTTCACTATAAACTAAGTTAACATATCCCTGATCAATCTAAACTCCATTCAGAAAACATACCTTTTAAAAGTTGTTTTCTTGTCATCTTGCAGACTAACCTGACAAAGTAAAATTCAAATACTTTTTTCAAATCAGCATCATGATGTAGTTATTTCAGCAACCTTTTGTTCCGATTATTGCAATTAAATCTGTGCTATCAGCAAAATCTGATTATTTTGAGCTCACATGGCCAAAGTAAGATAGATTAAAGAGTGACTGCAAGCAAATACAGCACACCTTTCACCCTGGAGTAGCCTGTGGAGGTGTGGCTTAAGTTAATATACAGATATCATGGTCATTATTAGTAACCTTTTGAATACTAATACTAACTACTTGATAAGCAGGCACAGCAAAAACATGCCTATAGTAGTGCAACACAAGTACAAACCACCCCAAGGTGCAGATACACAAGAGAAATATTCACTGGAACAACTAAATGCACCTATATGGTCTAAGATACCAATTCAATTAAATTTTATCTGTATAGCGCCAATTCATAACAGAAGTTATCTCAGGACACTTTTCAAATAGACCAGAAGATAGTGTGCGCATAGAGTGATCTTTGGGCCCCTCTGTGTCACTCAAATATCATCATCATTGTCACACATTAGTGCAGCCTCTGACCTTAGTACATCTCTATTTTCACCTTTAGTCTGGTGAGCAAGTAAGGTAGGTCAGAAGATATCCTCATAATTTCTTCCTCATAGCTCTCAGCAGTCTGACCTGCCTTTCTCATCATTTTGAAAATCCTGTACAGTAATGGCACCCTCAGCATCTCTCATTAGAAGTGTTTTAGTCTTGCTATTTCTTGAGGAGTGGAGCAGGGAGTGAGTGTACAGCAGGGGCTCAGTCCTTTGTCCTGTTATAGTGAGAGAAGTCAGCATGTGCTGCCTTGAGGCGCATTTAAGAGATCTCAGTACAACAGTGTCTCTCCCAGGCTTGGAGCTCACCCCCTTCTGCACACACCAGCAGGTATGACTCACTCTTCACCTGTGGGAGGCGAACCTGGAGAACAACAAAACACAGCATGAAGTTATTTCTTTGGATTAGATTAAAATGCAATGAAACTATGTATCAAGTTGACTTTGGCCTTTAATTTCAGATGTTTTTTTGCAATGATAACTAAAATTAGAAATGTTAATTCTTGGATATTTTTTGCATTAACATGGTCAAATTAAAAGACAGTAATACTTGTACAGTACAATGTACAGTGTATCAGAATCTTTTAACTTAAATCAGGAGTTCAAGAAATCAATAGTTTCATCGGTTTTACTTGAATTAAAATCCCTTTTTTCTACACTTTAACTCTGATGCTTTCAATTGCTCTTCTTAAGTCTCACTTAAGAGTGAGCTACGTAGTTAGCAAAACACAGGCTAACTGGCAAGTTAATCTACATCCATCATTAGTTAGCTAGCATTGTGCAAAAATTAAAATGTGACTATACATATGTTGCCTTATCTAAGTGACTCACACATAGCATATCTAAGTACAGGAAACAAGAAAGTTTGTCTGTTGTTGCTCAACTGTTGTCGAGCACAGAGCAAAACAGGGTGGCACTTCAGCCAGGTGGAGCTATGCAGAGAATTTCATGATCATCAAACACCATGATAAAAAGAGTACATTAATGCACTCATCAGCCAAGTGAAAACACAGTGTGAACGTACCATTTATAGAGGGCTTTAATATGTAAATGTACCTTTCATTTTCAGAATGTAACCAAATACATTTACTGTACTGTACTTAAATACAATGCAGAGGTACTATTACTTCACTTGAGCATTTCTATTTTATGCTGCTTTATTTTATTGTATTAACTTACAGGGACAAATATTTATTATATTTATATTTATCACATTCATTTGACAGCTACATATCAGATTTGCAGATTAAAATTTTGCATACTAAACCAACCATTAACTCAAAATTTAAAAAAACTTGATGTAAAATATGATGTATTGTTATATCAAACTTCCCAACAGTAGCAAAATAGTCAAGATTAGCGCCACCCCAACCAGCTGCTCACACAGTGTCAATGTTAAAAGAGTCAAATAATATATAAGTAAATACTGACAGGAAGCATTGTGCTGCATAATTATAGTTTTACTTTTGGTATAGTTTTCTGATTAGACATCCACACTTCTACTACAGTGGGGTTTTGAATATAGAGTTGTACTGTTTATGGAGTCTTTCTACATTGTGGTATTGCTACTATACACTTACATAAAAACTGCTACTTCTATGACCCTGATGATGAAATGATATCCCACATACAACTATAAAACATACAAATGGTATAAAAATCTCAGTAGAGTATTCAAAACCCCACATCAGTCTAACTGTAACTGTATTACTGTACCCTGTGGAACAGGAGCAGGTGGCGGTGGAGAGGAATCACCAGCGGGTAATGGCAGGCTGGGGGCACTCTCTCCCTCTGTAACACATGCAAGTCAAACAGCAGCTTTGTAGAAACAGAAACATAGGTTGGCCTGTTGAATAAGAGCTTGGCCAGCTGTACACTATACACATTTCATGTCACACAGAGAAAGTCTCTGTTTGCCTGTTAGCGAGACTGGTGCAAAGCTTCTGCAAATGAATTAGAGAACCAAACAGGTTACATGCTGTTTTAAAGGTGTTTTAGTTGTATGTGGATTAAAGATAGGCTTACATCCCCTGGTGGGTCCACACAGTGGGCAGGCAGAGCAAGAGATGCTGGGCAGATACTCAGCTCTGTGATTGGAGGAGAGAGAGGAACATTAGAGCCCATGGTGTGCGACGGGGGCAGTCTGCAGGCATTCAGCCTTGGGGTGGCCAGCCAGATTTTTAATAACACAAAGAAACAGAACAGAACCAAAAACAGTACACATTTGCGGTGATGAAAGTGATGATGGTGTGAGTGTGAAAGGAGAGAGAAGAAGCAGTGACCTAAGTGAAGTAAGCCATAGACTGTTTTATGAGGTACGTGTTTTTTGTCTGCATGCTTTTGCAACAACAGGAGTTGTGGTCATCATTCATAACACCTTTATCCATCAGCGCAGCAGCAGGAAGACCCTTGACGATGCCTCTTTTAAAAGCTCATGACAGTGTATTGATTTATGGAAACGGGCATCCAAGTTCCTGCATACCAAGGCTATTCTTAGAGTGGGTATTTACCACCATGTTCTGACTAAGGCCTCCAATATAAGCAGATACTGCTGCCCGGGACTGTGCAGCACTGTGTTTATTCAGAGTGGCTCATATTGTCTGGAACTTATTCCACCTCACATTTATGTTGTTCTTAAGAGACTCAGGACTGTAAAGTAGTACTTGGTTTGTTTGGGTGTCTGTGGGATTACATAATGTTACTGGCATTCTGAAAAAAGGTCTAACCAACTGGGTTAAATTTGAAATGAAAACAAAAGGCACATCTCTACCTCTTAATGGCCTTTAAAACCCCTTTCAGATCCCCCATCCATTCCAGTAGAAATAACTTTTCAAGGATGTATAGATCTGTGATTACTGTCATCTGACCCCATCTAGATCCACAAACTTATTTGATTGGTTTTCTGTACACCATTCGCATTGATAACCAAGACCACCTTTGTCAAGTCCTAGACCAGAACTAGTCGAGACTGAGTCAAGACCAAGTTCAAAAAGGTTTGAGTGCAAGTCAAGACCAAGTCCAAATAAGAAAGGCAGAGTCGAGACAGGGAAGGAAGAAGAAGAATACTTTTGCCATTGCCAATGAGATATGTTTTGGCAGTTAGGAAAACAATTGCAAGTGACACTGATTGGCTGCCTGGTAACCATGGTTATCATGTAACCACTGTCAATGCTGCTGTAGATTAAAGCACCAGTAGGTAACTTTTATAAAAAATATTTACAAAAACTAAGACAGATAATCTGTGAAAAAACAAGTTCATCTGGCTCCTCCTGCTGGTATTTACATGAATCCACCATCTTTATATCTGTCTCAGCTCTGATTGGTTGTTTTTCATCAGGCCCCGTGGAGTCCCTGCAGCGCTGGTTCCACATCATCTAAAGAGCCACACCCCTTATTCCAGCAAGCATGGATGACTATGAGGCAAATCTATTTTTGTTAATTGTTAAATTGTTAAAAGTAAAAATGAGACTTTGTTTTACTTGTATGTCAAAATATCATATGAAAGATTTATAGCTTTTTGGAATGGACTGGGTTATCGGAGAGAAGTGAATAGTGAAATACTGTTCTGATTTTTTCTGATTATTCTGATGCAGATGGTTTATAATATATCCTATTGATCATGTGCACAGAATATTTAACTTTAAACATACTGTTTGCTGGAGATAGTTCAATTTTTCCATTTCAAAATTTGTTTAAAATAATACAAAATATGCAGTGTATTTTAAAGCATCACTTTATTTATTTATATGAGTTAACCATTCATGAAAAATAAACCTGTTTTGTTTTTTATGGAAAAAATGTCTCAAGACTATTTATTGCCTTTTTTTATTATAAGGTGGTTTCTCATTCAGATTCTATATAACATGACATGTAATTAAGTAATTAAAGCTGCAGATGATTAATGATAAAATGAGTCTCATTCCCAGGTCTTCAAATATTGACGTTTTGGGCTGGTGGCTTGAAGATAGTTGATTATTGAGTCTCATTCCCTGGGTCCAAAAGCATCTGTAGTTGACCTTTGGGTGAGACTCAACAATCGATTATATTTCTTGGCTCTGGTTGTTTTCGTTAATTTTCATTCTACTGTCAGTAGAACCTTTTTTTTTTGGGTGGTTACAACGGGCAAGGCTGAGTCTGGCCAAAGTGACAGGGTTGGGATTTAGGAATAACTGGAAAGATGCAGGTTCAAAATAAATCAGGAAATCAATATAGGACTGTATGCTGGTGAGCTCGACAACTTTTTCAAGTCAAGCCATGTGAGGATATCAGGATTTACAGTCCTCACGATAATGGCAATTCACCATGATAAATATTGTGTTTAAATAAAGGGTTTTTTATTGCGGTACGTGAAAACGTGTATCATCCCATCCCTGTTCCTACAGAGTCATGGCATAAATGCATACAACATAAAGTGTAACAGAGAGGAACAGACGGCTAGATGGATGATTATAATGATGAGGAAGATGATAGCCTGATGAGGAAGCAGGGGGGTTGATCCCTTGCCTGTCTCCTTGGGGGCTCTCCAGTCCTGCATCTCCCCCTTCAGTCGCTCCATTTCTTTCTCCAGCTCACAATATCTCCTCTCTGCTTCTTGTAACCGTCTGTTGGATAAAGAGGGCAAGTTTTTGAGTTTTCAAAGTTTCATCACATATTCTTTTTGTTTTATATCTGCAGCTGAATTCAGTGAAACTGGGATGATGTAACTTTGCTGCAATGGATGCTTGTCTTTATTTGAAGGGAAAACTTCAAGTCCCAAATATAATTCAGCTCTTGTACTTTTTCTAATTGTGTTCCAAACAAAAAGTGATTTCTCAAAAACACAGATCCAGTCATTGTGGTAAATGTCCTACTTGTGTTTTCTGTCTACTGCAGTGTATTATACTGCTGCCTCCACAACTTCTCACATCATGTCACAATACTGGGTATATGATATGATTTTCCCCCAAATTCTTTAACAACATGAGATTAAAGACAAATTAAAAAAAGTGAAACTTATGTCTTTGCACGTTGATACAGTTACTGTATGATGTTAACTGATACCTCTGCAAGTCCTCATCAAGTCCTGATATTTGGTCAGTGTCCTCCTCGGTCGTGGTGTGGGTGGATGCAGTAGGTCTTTGCTCCAGAGTGAGTGGGAACTCTAGCAGTGGAGGCAAGTCGTCTGGTGGAGTGTCTGTGAGCTGCCACAGCTGGTTCTGAATTCAAAACAAGGGTAGATCAGGCCCAGCATAACAAAGAAAACACACTGAACAATATGTGTAAACATCACATGAATTACAAAGCTGTCTGTATAATGTACAAGGTAACTGATGCATCCTGACAAACAGACAAATGGAAGTTCTGACATGTGGTCTGGTCTGGCTCACCAGTTTATCTGGTGTGTACAGGGTCTTGCAGTCCCTCAGCCTTGTGGGGTCAATCTGCATCATAATGTCTTGACTGCGGTCGATGGCACCCGTCTGACTATAAAAGAGAGACCAGTTAAACCATACCGAGGAAGACGCCAAACAGTTGGAGTCGTTTGATGCAGTAAAAATGTTAATCATGAATGAATTGAGGTTCACCTGGTAGCGGTGTAAGAGTATCCAACAAAAGCCAAGTGTACACCTACTGGAGCTCTGTCCATTACATCAGACAGTGTCTCCTGCAGGACACAACAGATACCAACAACCACTTGCTGGTGTTATTCCATTAGAAGTTGTGTACATTTCGCATGGATCCACATTATATTACAATGTGTCAATATAGCAAAAACTTGTTTTGTAAATAGTTCCAGTGCCTGAAATGGGCTAGTACTAACAGGTACTGAGCCCTTCTGATTTTTGTCAACAAGTACCCTTACTTCTTACTGAGTACAACTACCTCCTGGTGAGTCTAGGTACACACCCCTTAACACCCGCATAATGCTTCATTTTGTTCTCCCACCAGCATTATGTGAAGACCCGCCCTACTAAGCTTGTGATTGGCAAGCGTTTGTTGGTTTAGTTAGTTAAGTTTAGACATGAGGAATGAGATGGTTAAAAAAAATTTCAAGGTGAGAGCCAATCAGAAGGAGAGTAGGGGTGAAATACCGGTGGGGAAATGGTCGCCTAACCAGGTTCATGTGTGCAAGTAGTTAACCCTATAAGTTTTCCACCCCGTTTTAGCAACGAAAGCTGGGAGAAAGGGCTCAGTCTCTATTGAGCAAAGCATTTAGTGACTGGTTTGTGAGTCTAGTTGAACAGATACAGATAGTGGTGTACTCGTTCATCCCTAATTGATTTTAACTTAAAGACAAAACAAGTGCTTAAAATACATAAAATAATTGTGTACAATTATGGATTTTTTTTAAAGACACAACCTAAGTTCCAGCATACCATTTCACTGAGACAGTCGTCCAGAATGTCAAAGTTGGAGGTGTCAGTTGGATCAGATACTTCAGGCAGAAAGGGGGCAGGGAGTTTATGTAGGGAACCCCAGTCTAGTCCACAGAAGAACGGATTGTTCCTGAAGTCACTGGAGCCTTTCTTTCCCAGACGGACTTCCCTCTCACAGATGAGTCCAGTGATGAAGGAACGAGCCTTGTCTGAAATCTCAGGGCCAGAAGAGGGGAACTCAAAATACTCCTGGGGACCAAAAAATAACTAAATGTTGGGTGTTTACTTCTGATACCACTAGTAGTATAACTGCTGCTAGCTGTATCACCCTATGTGTTCATACTGCTAAAACCACCACCACCCCAAACATAAAAGTGGGATTGTGAGTGACAATTGTGTATCTGATGTTATATTTTAGTCTAAAAAGTGTTAAAGGTGCTGTAAGTGATATTTTTTGTTGTACATTCTGACAGCCATCGCCAATATAGAGTGTTCAGTCAGTCACATGCATCCCCCAGTCCCCCCTTTCTGCAGGAAAAAGAGAATACATTTTCTGGTATCTCCTCCCCACTTTATCCAATCAGGAGAGAGAACTCCACAGATGCGGTTGTCAAGAATTTCTGTGTGGTAATTTGGGAAGGAGGGAGGGGGCTGTTAACTGCAAGGACAGGAAGTTGGGCAAAATGCAGATTTCACTTGCAGCAACTTTAAATAATCTGAAGTAGAATTTATATATTTGATCTGCCAGTGTCCTTTAAGTCCTGAAATTCAGATTTTCAGTTCTTTACAAATTGTGGGTTTACCTGAAAGTGGATGATCTTGGCATAAGTTTCAGAGATGGACTCTGCGTAAAAGGGTGTGGTCCCAAGCAGCATCTCATAGGCACAGATACCCAGAGCCCACCAGTCACATTCAGGACCATAACTTCCACCTCCCTCCACTGCCCTTAAAATCTCTGGAGACAAATAGTCAGGGGTCCCAACTGCTAGAGACGAGTGAACCTGCAATGAAATCAAAAATCAATGAAATTAAAAATTGCATCTATGGCTACGTTCACACTACTAGCCTTAGCGCTAAATGTATGATTTATTGCACGAATCAGATGTTTTTTTTGTTTAGCTGTTCAGATTGTTTTTGACTGTGAACCATATCAGATTTAATGTGAACAGTCCCGAAGGGACCTGCAAGACGTAAAAGTCACACAAATTATGATATGACTAAGGTCATATTCCAAAAAATCTGATCTATACCACATATGAAAGTGGCCTAAATTGAAATGAAAAGATCAGATGTGGTTTGTGTTATACACTGTTAGAAAAAACAGATTTAAGTCACACATGAGCAAAAACAATCTAATTTGGGCCATTTTTGCCTGCAGGGTTAACGTAAATGAAAAATGATTGATTAGTTGGATGTTTGGCAGGTTTTTCCCCCTCAAAGAGTAAGTGCTAAATCTCACCATCCCATCCTCTAGGAGCCTCAGACAGGAACCAAAATCCCCTAGTCGGATGTGTCCATCAGCTGTCAGCAGGATGTTGTCAGGTTTGATGTCTCTGTATAAGAATCAGAGCAGAGGAGGCCAGATTTCATTGATCAAAAACAAAATGTCATAGGATGTTAGGAGTAGTTTTATCAATGTTATCAATGTTACAGTCCCAGGACACAGTGCATGAATGTTTTGTGAGCTATGTTAGTCTTTAATACTAAGAAGTATTTGAACCATGTGAAAAGCAATGTTCATACTTTAGTTCTCATTTCTCAAAATAGTAATTAAACTGTACATGGCTGCACTCTGAATCTAAGAAGTAAAACAACACAAGCACCATCTTTTAAAGAGAAGAGTCTACCTGTGTACGTAGCCCAGTCTGTGCACACAATCAATGGCCATGACCATCTCTGCCAGGTAGAACTGAGCCATGTCCTCAGGGATCCGGTCTCCAAACTTACTGAGCAGAGTCAGCAGGTCCCCCCCTACATAGTAATCCATCACCAGGTACTGAGGGAGAAGGGGGTGGATGATCATCATCATCATCAGTCATTTTTATTAGTATAGTTGTGTTGGTGTTGCGCACCTTTGTTGAGGCAGATGGCCACCCACTTAGAGCTGGGGTCTGACCGAGGTTTCTGCCTCTTAAAAGGATGTTTTTCCTTCCTGCCTTTGCCTTGTGCTTGTGCAAGTGTTTAATGGTGGGAACTGTTGGGTCTCTGTAAATAATGTTATAAGGAGTACGGTGTAGACCTGTTCTATTTGAAAAGTGTCCTGAGAGACGAATTGGCGCTATACAAATAAAATTGAATTGAATTGAATTGAATTGAATGAGTGAGGAAAATAGCAGTGGGATTTAAGTTAAATGCAGTACATGCTATAGACCAGTGTTTCCAAAACGTTTTTTTTGGGGACCAACTTTTTAAAAATTACAAACCATGGCAACCCGATTCACAGTAAGAAGAGTAAATTTGTGCAAAAATAAACGTTCCTGACCATTTTTACTGCTTTTTCTGCATCTAATCATTATTCATTCAAATAAATCTTGTAAACTGATATAAAACTACATTTGCTGAAAATATTTAAGACATTAGGAAGTTTTGTTACCTGATCCATATACAAAAGCAGATCATCAGCGTATAAATAAATGTTAAATAAAGCAGCATTTTGAAAGATGTGCGTTTGCTAAATCTCAAAACTTCATCATCAGTAAAACAATAGACATTTTAAATACTTTATAAATGAGAAAAAAGGCATTTAGGTTAACAAGGTCAAATTTTTTTCCCTCACTACAAACAGAATGTGCACTTTATGAGACATATGTGCATTTAGGCAAAGTTAAGGCTCTTGTTTTTTACCTCATCAGTAAAACGATGTATACTTTTTAAACATTTATAAAAGTATTTAAGATGTGTTTTTAGCAGGAGGAAGATATTCTTCAACCTACATGGGGGTCGCAACCCAGAGGGAATGAATGCTAAGGACTAGCACAATACATTTTTGAAAAACGTTTGTCAGAACTAATTTGCCGTGTTCATATGTACAAGATAGTTGTCATCCTGAAAGGCATAGTGCAACTCTGTGATCCAGCGTCTGTCACCCCTCAGCAGAACCTCCCTCTCCTCCTGGTAACATGCTGTCTATATACAAAGACACAAACACACAGGCAGATGCAGGTAAATGCGAGCTACAAACAACAAAGTTAACTGAAGCTTGAATCAAAGAGCATGTGCCTCAATTTGGCTTTTTCTTCCTTTTATCTTCCAGCAACTGTCCATATTCTTTGTCAGTGCAGACTTGTGTCTGTGTATGTACCTCTCCTCGCCTTAACATGTCCCACTTATTCATAATCTTCAGAGCGTACACTTGTTGGGTGCTTCGTATCCTTGCCACGGCAACCTGCAACAGTGATGAAACAGAATAACCATAATAACCACATGAAAGCATGCATGCACAAAATGGCCGCATGCAATAGTATAGACATACGTACATACGTACAGCTGTTTGATAGAGTGAGGTGGCGCTGTTTATACAATCATATAAAGAGTACTGTATATACAAAAATCGAAAGATAAATAATTACATTACAATGTGTATATGTTCCACATTGTAAAGTGAGCCCTTGCTCATAACTAAGCAAGAGTTCAAAGTTAACCTGTGATCATTGAAATTACAATGATAATTTGAGATTTCACTCAAGTTGTATACAGGTTGAATAGTTCAAAGCCTTGTGACTTTGGCCCATTCTAAGAAAAACATATTAGTTCAGAAGAGGACCTTACATTTTACAATGTGGAATCATTTATTAAGGGAGAATGAGTATTCTTGTGGTACTACCACCTTATAAGGCCCATACTGAGCAAAGCATATTAAGATCATAATTCATGTATAACAACTTCCCTAGTTACTATCAATAAGCAGTAATTAGGATTACTAGCCTAGTAGTTTTAAAACATGGTCATGCAGTATAAGTAATTAACACATGTTTTATGATGTCTAATAAAGAGCCAATATGCTTCCTTAAAGCTGCAGTAGGTAATATAAAATAACTTTTTTCCCATATTTGCTGAAACCTTCACTATATCCTGACAGAACATGAGACAGATATTCTGTGACTTGTTCTAGTTCTCCAAATGGTATTTGCAAGAATCTGCAAGGCCTGAACTAAAACATCCAAGCTGAGAAAGATACTAGACACTGTTGGAGGCTTGAAGATAGTCGATTGTTCAGCCTTATTCCTAGGGTCCCAAAAAATCTGTATTATCTGCCTCATGTACTACCATCAGGATATAGTGAAAGCTTCAGCAGATATGACAAAAATAGTTGCAGCTTTAATATAAAGTATTACCAAAACTTAGTGGAACCTTTAAAAGGTAGGATTTATTGCAGGGTTGCATTAATTTGTACAGGCACACCTAATAAACTTGCACTTGAGTGTAGAGGGAGAGAAGTAAAGAAAGAAAACAGGAGTCACAAACCTAAATCACATTTGCACCTGTATCCAGAAAAGCTTGAATATAAAACTCTTTACAAAATGAGCTTAATTAATGATCATTCAAGATATTAATAAGCCACATCTAAATAGGTGGATATCACAAGCACCCAAAACAACACAAAAGAGCATTTTCTGTTGTTGCTGATTTTACAATTGATGGTCAGGAGGATTGAGAAGAAAAGATGTTCAAATATATAGTGCCAATGCAGTGTAAAAGTGTAAAAACTAAATAAATAATTCAAATTCTTCTGGAAACAATTCTAATCAATACTACGTCAGAACCTGCTGGTTAATAATACTGCTCACCTCACTGAATGTGCCTCGGCCAATCACCTTCAGGATGTGAAAGTCTTCTCTTTTGATGCGAGTCCTCTTCACCTGCCTCACCAAGGGATCAGCTGTGATTGGAGGAGAGGAGAGAGAGAATATATGTGTTCCATAATGTAGCCTTAGGTTAGAGTGGAAGGGGAATGGAGGTTTGCTGGTATCAGTGAGAGATATTATGCAGTGATGTTTTATGAATGTTGTATTGATTTTAAGGCAGAAGGACTTGAACCTCATAAGCAAATGTATACCCCAAACCACTACTGACCTCTTGAAGTGGAAATTACCACTAAATCTGAGTACTCAGTTCCCCTTTTTAAATATGTCCAGTGGGTAATTTTAAAGGACCAGTCTGTCTGATTCAGTGGCATCGAGCAGTGTAGTTGCAGATTACAACCCCATCACCTCATCCTCACCTTCCAAGCTTATAGGACAAACTACAATGGCCAAAAACCATGAAAGGGACTATCTAGATCCACTGTTTGGTTTCTCCTTTCTGGGCTACTCAAGAAATATAGCGGCTGCCAGAAGAGGATCCTCTCCCTCTGTAGATAATGGCTCATTGTAAAGTAACAAAAACACTTACTCTACTATACACTGATACCATTTCTGCCAATAGATCATTGTAAATGTTACACACTGGACCTTTAAATCAAGGCCTATCTCAGGGTCATTTGAAGATGTTTTTATGCACATTTTTATGCTTCTTTGCTTCTTAAATATCTTAAATCTACTGTATTTTTTACAGACTACTGTTTTATTTAATTAATAATGCTTTCTTTTACACATAGTCTTTTAATCTAAGTCTAAATAATAAAATACCATTTGCTAATGGACATGACCATTTATATAATGAAACTGATTAAGTGTTTTTTAAGCTGAATAAGGTAATGAGGTCAGGTGTGCACTGATCTGTGTGAATGATTTGATCTTCTGGATGTACTGTGAAATGCTTTGCTGCTTTCTTTTTGAGATGTGGTCATTTCACTTTGGCTCTCTAACTACAGCAGCCTGCTAACAACTGTGTACATGCATACAGGCAGCTGCTCTGTGTCCTTCCAGTTGAACAGAAGATTATATTTGCCATAAAGGGAGTTCCTCTTCGGCTGCATCGGAGTCGCTCTGTAGAGCTAAAAATAGCAGCTATCATTTATGAATCAAGGCAAGTTTTCCAGTCCTTTATTTTTATTTTTTATTCCCCACCTCCTCACACATCGAGAGGAATGCAAGTGAAGCAGAGGCATAGTCTTAACTGTTTTTAGATGAGGAGTAAGAGCAGCGTCAGGCACACACACACACACACACACACACACACACACATATACTGTCGCCTCAGAGCTAAAGGAATCCTGAAGCAACAGGACGGTCCTGTGAAAAGGACCCTTTGTCCACTGTGAACATGTACAGTAGCTCTGGGTCAGTAGACTGGGACAGCCATGTGACCTGTGTTGCATCATAGTCTTTTACATAGAAACAGACAGATGAATAGACAGCATTTATTCTGATGTCACACAAAACTGACCTTGGTACAATTACAGAACATGACTGTATAAATCATTTAGTCTCATGATGGCAGGATGAAATAATAACTCCAGTGCGCTTCTATTCGGGTTCATAGAAGAATCTCCAAGAAAGTCTTAACAAAGGGGAGAATAAAGCAGATCAGTCCTTAAAGGTCTTAAAAATCAACATAACCTCTCATGTTGCTCTGACAAATCCGTAAAATCATCTCCAAATATCTTCATCGCCGTTACTATGTAATGTAAAATGGAGTATGGTGGGATTTTAGAATGAACAAATGAATTTAGATCTGATATGAAGTGTATTATGTATATCCGATTATGTAAAGACATATCACAAGGCAGTTAAATCTTAATAAATATGTGAAGATTCAGATTGGTGAGGTGGAAAATAAATCACGATACTCTCTTTAAACAGCAGAGGGTGCTCTTCTACTCTCTACTTTTGGCTTGTTTAATGGACTACGTCACCCGCGTCGTGATTGACGATGTGCCTTACTGTTTAAAATTAGAGTCAGAAAGTGCAAAAGGTAAGAAAATAACAGTCAAGAAATGGCAAGAGATTCACTTTTACAAAGAAAAATAAAGATAAATTGTGATATGTTTATACCCTACCTCAGAAATAAATAAGGATTTATAAATCAATATTTAAAATATAAGAGAAAATATATATTTTGTGGATTTTTAAAATCTTCAGTCTTAATTTCACTTCATCCATTCTAAACCTCTAACCAGGTCTGGGTTGCAGTGGCAGTAGACTAGAGTTAACCCAGATGTCCTTTCCCTAGCCACATGGTCAAGGTGTACTTGAGGCATCTGGAAACATTCCGCCAGATGGGTTTTATAATCCCTCCAGTGTGTCCTGGGTTCTAGGATCTCTAGAGCTGAGATATTGCTATCCCACATTAGACTCTTCCTACGTCCTGCCTCTATTTGCTCTGTTCTCCAATAACAGTTGAGCAGGCCTTAGTCAGAACTTCGGCCAACTTTCTTCTTTACTGTACTTCGAGGATAGCTAGGCTAATCTTCACTTCTTCCCCAGAGTTCTTGTTGCGGGGGGCGGGGCCGGGTGGGTGCATCGCGCAGGGTTCTCGGCTAGTGGGAGCCTGGTGAGGACCGGCCTGGCTCGTCAGCTGGTGCCTGCCGTGTGCGGGGTGTGCTGCGGACATAGTCGGGATATACGAGACGGAGTTAAAGTAGGAAAGGCCCTCGGCCGTGAAATGCCCTAAATGAGATGCGACTATTACTCACACTAATAAGAAAGAAATATAAGAAAGCAACCGCCTAGGTACCTCTCAGCACTGTGAAGCCGAGGCTGAACTAGCAGTCAGCGAAGCCTCTGTGATTTGAGCCCGAGGCTTTGGGTTGAGTGCCCGTGGCCTATTAACGACTCTAGTGCCCACCCGTCGCTATTATGTAGTGCGTGTCGGATGGGGGAGGGGGACTTGTGGCTGGGGTTTAGTGGGGATGAGAGGTGGAAGTATTAGATGCTTACGGGTTGTGATGTGAGAGTGGGTGATGAAAATTAGTCAGCCAAGAGGGAAACCCGTGAGTG